TGTGTGTGTGTGTGTGTGTATTCTGGGGGCTGAGAGCTGAGTGAGGGGAAGAAGGTGTGTGTGTGTGTGTCTCTCTCCTCAGCATTCCCATTCAGCATGCTTACATTTGCTTAATCCTCCGGACTTCAGTATGGTAGTCCGGCTCTCAACTGTGCTTGATGTCCTCTCAGGGATGGATTTGGGTTTTGTGGGCCTCAAGATTAGAATCATTTTATGTGCCCTTTTAAAGAAAAATAATATAAAATTACAAATATAAAAATAGGTATGAAAGTATTTATTTAGACAGAGAAAAAAGCACAACAAATTACAAGTTATAAAGAGCTAACAACACAAACAACAGAAAATCAAGACTAACCTAGTATTTTTACTAATCATCTGCCTGACACACATCTATATATTTTTTCCCCTACATTTTTTGGCTATACAACCTTTGATTGCCTTTTCAGATGACAGAGTTGGTAACATTTCCCTGGAGAGAATACAAAGATAACTCAGTCTTTCCTCTAGCATGGTTGATTGAAATTTGTTTCCTATTACTGAGAGTATTAGAAAAGTTTCTTTTTCAGCTTACTAGTAATATCCTATAAATTTTAGGAGTGTTGTCAAATTTAGGAAAATCTCATGTTTCTTTCATAAATGAACTGTAGGATTCCAGGGCACGTTTCAAGTTTTCTTATATAGCAACTAATCTTAAATGTTCTTCGAATTAATGACAGTAACCAGCTTGCCACCGATGTCTTTGTAGGAGGGCATATAATGAGTTTTATGTTATCTCTGTTATGTATTTGTTAAATCCACTAGAAATGTCAATGTATTCCTAAGATTTCCTCCTCCTCTTCCTTAACTGGATCGGCAAACAAACATCACCCTTATTTAAAATGTATCTCATTCTTTCAATGAATTACTAGCTTTTGGTACAATTAAAATAATTTTTTTGTTACAATTTGCTTGATTTCAGGATAATCTGTATTTAATTGCTCACCTTTGTCACTTTTGTATTCATTATTTTTAATCTAAATTTACCATAGTTTTTTAATAAATTTAATAATGATCAAAAAAGGTATAGTCTTCATGTATTTCCAACTCAGAAGTCACGTGTCTTATTATAATTTCCCAAAAGTGTCTTTACAAATTGCAGTTAAAATGGTATATTTCCAGCTCAACTCTCCTTAGTCCCATCCCCCCTAAAAGCCAAGGCTACTCCATATCTACCTGACATGAGGGACAGAATGAAGCAGAAAAAGTATGAAGTGAAGATAGAGGCTTTCTTAACTGATGGCCGTTTAAATACTTACGTTTTCAAAGTTCACAAAAACACAGGCCCATGGGAACGCATGGCTCAGGTTCCTTCCAGGGCGTTTGAAAAAGTCCATGTAAGTGAAGGGCCTGAGGCTTTATTAGTTTTACACAGCAAATATACTTTTGTGTCCCCTACTATACAGACTCCGTGTTTTATACTCTCCAGGGGCGGGATAAACCCTTCATTCTTCTTCTGGGGTGGGGAAAGGACAGTCTTCCAGTCAGCTGGAGTTGGGGAGGAGATGTAACTTCCTAAACAGCTTTTATGCAATCTTCTTTACTTTAGCGCTTGGCTTCACTCCCACTTCCAGAGGTACCTGTTGTTGTTAGTTGCTGTTGAGAAGATTCTGACTCATGGCAATCCCATCCCTGCAGAGCAGAACTGCTCCATAGGGTTTTCAAGGTTGTGACCTTTCAGAAGCAGATCGCCAGGCCCGTCTTCAGAAGTACCTCTGGGTGGGTTCAAACCGCCAATCTTTCATCTAGTAGCAGGGCGCTTAACCATTTGTGCCACCCAGCCACCAATTTCTGAACCTTTCAAGATTCTGTGATGCAAGTTAGGATGGCTCTTGGTTTCCCCAAATGCCAGTTTAGGATTTGCCTTTCTTGGAACTCCTAAGTCAGTCATCTCTTGTAACTGCATTCTAATTCCCAGATTTCATTGTTGATGTCTCTTCTATTCTCCTAGAACTTTTTAGATTTGTCTCTTTAAAAAATTTGTTTTAATGTGCTTTTTGTGGGATTTGTGGGGGAAACAAACTAGATATACGTATTCAATCTGTCATCTTTACTTAGAACCTGGCTTATTTATTTTATTGTGCTTTAAGTGAAAGTTTACAATTCAGGTTAGCTTCTCATACAAAAATTTATACACATTGATTGTTATGTGACCCTAGCTGCTCTCCCTACTCTGTAACAGCACACTCCTCCTTTCCACCCTGGATTTCTCGTGTCCATTCAAGCAGCTCCT